AACTTAAATATATGTCACTAGAACGAAAATGAGTTAATTTATTCTTTATTAAAGACTTAAATTTATCTGCTTTAATGCTTCTGGCAATTTTTTTCTTGGTTTTCGACTTTAATTCACAAATGTAGATTGCATAAATGAATGTAAGCAAATAATAATTATGTATAGAGTGCATTATTTAACAGTAACATTTAACGGGAGAACTTTAAAGGTCTTGTCTCACAAAATTTTCTTAGAATTAAAAATTTGCCAATTATTGCGACTAACTTGCATTATTGCTACACCAAATTGTGATGCATGTGTTTTAAAAAATTATTTACTGTAATTATCTACTTGACCCTCGTCATTTCATTCTCTTGATCTGAATAATTTACGAGGCAATTTATTTAAATCTGATTCATTTATGAATTCTTAACAAAGACAAAAAAAATGCTAAAAAGTATTTTTTGCTATTCTTTTTTTTTTTCTTTGTGTCGTTTTTTTTTTTTTTTCTATTTTTTTCTCTTGCCATTCAGCACTTTGCGCGATAATTGTCGGGTGCAGTGCATTATAATTGCGTAATTCTCGTGACGAAGAAGACATTAGTGAGCCCAGGAGGGAACGAATGAATTCATGAAGTTAAAGATGTCAGGGGGCTTTCAGTACTTTTAACAAGTGTACTTTTCTTCTATTCTTATCGTATACTCTTGTTCAACACAATCCTCAGACATTAAAAACTTTCAGCACTTATAATATTTAATATAAAACAATATCCAAATAATCATCAGCATTATTAAACATAAAATCAATTTTTTTTTTGTTTTTAAATAAATATCTCAAAAATCTATTGTATCAATCTTTTTTTTCTCGGAATTTACTACAAATTTTGTCATAAATCTCTTAAATGGTCAAATAAGACTCGAAACTAGCAGTGATTAAATATTTTGTTGGTGCAACTACGCCCACAATTAACGGATCTTAATGAAATTTGGTACACTCATATTTTTTGACCAATTACTTTGGATAAGTTAAAAAAAAGAACTTAATTGGAAACGATTTTCAAAAACGTTTGAAATTAGTCATTTTTCTCAAAATAATTTTTCAGCTGGGAGAAACAACTCAAATGTAATAAATTCATCTTAAAGTTCACACGAATATTTTCAATTTAAGCTTATTATTCGTACACTTTTTTTTTGTGCTTGTACTAGTATTATATAAGTCCTAAGAAGGTTTTACAATTTGAAATTTTTTTTTTCTTTTATTGTAGATAGTATTGAAATGTACCTTTCCGTGTCAAATTAGGCTACATAGTCTTTTTTTATTATGTTATTTCCACTTATTGAATCCAACAAATAATTTAATTCTGAATTAGTATTTTTTGTGAAAAATAACCAACCGAAAATTAAGTCTAATTGTATAGAATGAATAAATGTATTGTTAGCTGAATCCACTTCTATCCTAATGTATCCATCAATAAATATAGTATACCTTCCAATTCAATACTAATTTTGGTTAAGAATTATATTGACCATGAAAATCGTAATGTATTTGCATTACTAGTGGGATAACGTACAGAATGATGCGACGAGCCATGCATGACACCCTCTTCTACATTCCCTATGATGTTTATATCAGCTCATGGCTTCTATTCTCTACATTATCTAGATAAATCCAGATCAATAATGAAATAAAAAATTTTTAAGTAACAGAGTAATGCATGGAAAATCAAAATAAATTGCTTATAAGTTTTCATCTATGCGAGGGAAGTAATGAAAAAAAATTCTATAAATTATTTATACCTTTAATTAAGTACTTTAGATCAAAGCAGTTTATGCGTATCAGAATAAACATTATTATAATCACTGACGACAATCTACGTTATGAAGAACATGCACAATTTTAACAACTTACCAATTCCGAATCACGTCGTGTATATGAAAAAAAATAGGAATGAAAGAAGAGAGAAAATGAAGAAATGAATATATGATAATTGACTATGAACAGGTAGGTAGTTCAGGAAATATCCGTCGTTATCTCAAGCTTTTGTTACTACAATAGTTTAGTTTTGCAACTTTTTTCAATAGTATACTCTCAGTATTCAATACATATATATGAAAAAAAAAAAAAAATATATCAAACAGACGAAAAAAAATTATTGATATAAAATAAGAAAGCTTAATTTTTAACTATGTGAATAATAATCAGTTAGTAATGAAATATTATTCGGTAGAAAAGAAAATCAAAGTTATGCGAAAGATAATTGCAAATAAAATTTTTTAGAATTGTATTTTCTTATAGTAATTTCAATAGATTGAAATGTTACTAAATAATTAAAAATGCCACAAACGTTATTTCATTTGTTTGATTCATTTTAAAAATATTTTGCAGCAAAAACTTACACCAACTAATACATGGAGTGAGCAAGTACTAGTTCCTGAGCAGCTACTGGGTACTTTACCTCAATTATTGTTTACAAAATAAATGTAATATTTTTAAAACTGCATAGTATTTTTTACAAATTTTATATTTTGTAAAACATATCACATAAAGCCTGTTCACTTATTATCACATATAAGCTTTAGGCTTATCTAGTCAAAATTAGTGGCTTAAGGAATTGAAACTAAATTTCAACTGGTTTTTGTTGTCTTTCAAAATTTAAATAGATATTCAAAAGAAATCCTAGTTCAATACTTTTAATCTTGACTTGAGATTTGTTAAGTATAAAATGGATCTCAAATCAAAGCGGCAAGTGTCCACATCAAAAAAGTCAGGCTCCATGTGCTTGATCGGGGTTTGAAATTATCGACTCAGGCTATGTTTTTATCCAACAGGTACGACACCGAAAAATATTCAAGGTCAGACATTACCCTATATCATCTATACCACCCGCAGATTTTTATTACCAGTCTTTGAACGTAAAAACGATAAATAATGTGTTTTATGATCATAAATATAGATAGTATACACTTGGTTGCATCAACAGAAGTTTTTTTTTTTTTTTTTTTATAAAAATATGTAATGTTAAACCGTGAATCATTTGATCATATTTCTTCATCGTAAAATATTTTATGTACATAGACATAAATTAAAACTGACACTCTTTTATCCTGCATAGTAATTGATACATACAAATCGTCCCATCGGGATTGCAGAAATACGAAGGGCAAGTTCATACTATTATATTCTTCAGTTGTAGGGCAGAGAGCAGATACTACCTCTGCTCTATTTCCATTGCTGATGCTGTTTGATGCCTATGACGACCCGATATCGTCTTCACAGTTCGCTGCGTCAGTTTTCTCCCTCCGAGCTCGATGTCGGAACGAACTATAGATAAAAAAAAATTAAAAGTTATATAGTATTATAAAAGTTCATTATTTGACGAATCATTGATTCATTTATTGTTGAGTATTCACACGAGATGTTATTTTTTATTCATAAACTAAAAGTTTAAAATGATAGTATTTGCCCGATATTAAATTATATTAGTTTGGTTTTAGATTAAATATGTTCAAAGTATTATAATAATTTTTTTTAATTTATAAAAAACGTGTATAAATCACTAACTTGCTCTTTAAAATATTTATTATAAAAATATTTAGACAATTTAGGAGTATTAATTCAAGAAATTTATGAAATGAAAATTAAATGTCAGTTAACGGCAAGTTATTTTGGAAATTTTCAAATTTTGACAAATTTGGAAAAAAAAACCAAACACTTCATTTTAACTTCCCACTAAGAAAATAAATCAATGATTTTCAAAAAACCGGCAAGTTGTTTTTACCCCGATTTTCAAAAATCGAGTTTTCATCAAATCTCGACGTTCCGAGTACCTAGAAATCAAAATCATTTGATTCGTTCAAGAGATGTCTTTTGTCAAAAGAAATCTTGAAAAAATGTTTTATCAAAATAACTTTAAAATTCACCTATAAAGATAAAATACTTATCTGTACATAGGTCAAGAAAGAAAATAGACAGCTGTCCATTTATATTATAATCAATTTCTACAGTTAAATTGGCTATAAATATATAATCTTAAGTGTCTTACATATTCTTCATTATAATGATTATATTTTATTTATGATTAAATTTGAGCCACAAGCCATTTTTTTTCAACTTTCATTTTTTTTTCTATCAATTATTTTTCCCCATACTAAATAACTTTTTGTGCTCAAGATACTGTAACGAATGCAGTAAACCACATCAAAGTTGAATGACTCGATTAAAAAATTATCGCTGTTCAGAAATTTCTGAAAAAAGACCTAAAATAATTATTGTACCATTGAAGAAAATATTTTTTAAATGAGAAGTTATTTGCAAACAACTAAAAAACGTAAAATGTTTATTTTAGAAAATAATTTATTCGTATTGAATCGTGGCAAATAAAAATTAATATCAATGCCAGGTTCATCAGGAAAAGTTCTACTCGTCCGATATTCAGTTAAACTAGACCCATCTTGCGAGCTACGCGCGCATTCTTTGTTGGCTCTTGAAATTCCCGCCACGATCTCCATTAAAAAAACTAAACATAATAAACAGAGCAAATAAATAAGCTATGGAAATGTCAACATTCGCTGATTAATTTTTTAGAAAATAGAAACTCAACAATGGTTTTAAAAATTTTAAAATGTTCATTAACAAGTGAAATTTTTTTTTTTTTTATTTTTTTGCAATCATTTTTTCAATAAAAAAAATTCTAAAGATTTTTAAATGTTGGCTAACTTAATTTTCATTTAGAAATATCATTTAATATTAAAAATAAAAATCACAATATTAATAAGTAAGTATAGGAAATGATATTTTAATTATATTTAATTTTTTATACTTTGATAATCCTTGTAATTTTGAAAAACTCGGAAAATGATTGATTTTACTGAAATAAAAAAAAAAAAAAATCGGATCAATATTAGCCACTTTTGGTTATTTTATAAACTTTTTGGAAAAAAAAAAAAAAAGTTGTATAAATAATTAGAGAATATAATATAGAATGATAAAAAAGTTAAAAATTAGCGGTTTAAAATAAAAAGATGTCGCTAGTTGATAAAAGAGCCGAGAGAAAAAGAGACGAAGAGCGCGGGAAGAGAGAAAGAGCAGAAAAGGGAAGTGAGCCAGTATAGCCACTGCTAAAGTATTAGATGACGTTACTTAAAGCCATAGTGCTCCCTCCAAAAATGTTATTGTATTGGTAATATTGTTTTTTAGTAGTTTACAAATAAAATGGCCGATATATGAGGCTATTTTATATGGAGATATAAAATATGTAATTTACGTTAAATTAATGATCATAATTAATAAGTGGAATAGTATTCGCGATAAATATAAGTCGCGGAACGTTCCGTGATATTAAGTATAGTATCAGTGATAGTGTTGAATTAGCGTAGAAATAAGGTGGAGGTTGTCTTTTACCGTCGGTTGCCGTCGTGAGACGCCGCGGGGCCCTCGCAATACCGAAACGAAGAATCACTCACACTGTGTGGTGTGGTGTTGGCTCCAATACACTTAAGGAAAATATAACGTGGGTAAACGAACAAATATATATTCCTTTTTTTTTTTTTTTATGTATCATTGGCGCGCACGGTGGCGCGGCAAATATACAAATAAAGTATATATTCTCATCGTTAATAATATTATTTGGCAGGGGGAGTAACAATTAACAACGAGTGGCAGGAGAGACGAAGCAGCGGTAGAGGCAGAGTAAGCGCGAACAAGAGAGACAAGGAGACACGACTCGAGGTGAACACGAGTGTGGAGATTGCAAGCTTCCTGTGACACCCGTCTGGCGGGCAAATATAACAACGGCATCTGAAACAACCAGGAGCATTATTTTTATCGAATTTTACTATAAAGAAAGACAACCCGAAATATATAATTATTATTTATTACTATACGTTATATTATCATTATCAATAAGGTAAACAGCAGCGTCCCAATTAGGGACTCCGATATGATACCCACGAGGAATTACTATAGCTGAGATACTGGAGTGCGACGGGTATATCTACCTGGAGCCGCTCAAGATATTTCCCGCCGACCAATTCGTCGTTGTGGAACGAGTCGGCGCGGATGATGCGTTGACAGATAGTGAAGTGCCAACAAATAGCACAGTGGCCAGTGAAAGTGATCCCGATCACGCTACCCTTGCCAATATGTGCACGACACCAGGCAACACGGGCAATGGTTTTGGGTATGCGTGGTCGTTAAATGCTCCTGGTACTGAATCACGTGATAACGCTCAGGGTGAGCTAACAGCTAATATAAGTTACGCTTTTAATAATAATCAAGATCAGAGCACCAGTCAAAAGATACAGGTTGACATAAAGCCTGCTAAAGTTATCAATAGTACTGCCAGACGGCCAGTATTTACGATGAATGAAAATTGTCAACAGACACCTACAACACATGGTCATACGGGAGCTCATAATCAAACTCATGTCACTCATGCTCGTGTGAAAAAACATTCTGATGTTTTTACGCTTACCTGCGACAAGGGTGGTTGTAATTGTGATGCAGCCCATACTACACCAGCACCAACCATATTTCCTAATGCATTAGTTTTTACTACCGGTGATAAACACGCAATGAGTAAACATTTTATGACACCTATTGGGCCGCTTCAGCTTACTGCTGAAGAGTGCAATGAAATATTGATGAAAAGAGCTGCTGCAGCATCTACTCAAGCAACAACCAATAATGTATCAACCAGCCAAGCTGATACAGCAACACATTTTGGTCACGTGCTTACGCATGTTAATGCAACGCAAATTGAAACTAAGGTTAAAACTCAACAAGACATGGGAAGTCAAGTACGCGTACCTAAAGAAAGGCCATACTCATGCTCTGAATGTGGAAAATCATTTCTTCTTAAGCATCATCTTACTACCCATGCACGTGTACATACTGGGGAACGGCCTCATATCTGCGTACACTGTGGCAAAAGTTTTGCACACAAACATTGTCTACATACCCATCTTCTGCTGCACAGTGCTGAAAGACCTTATCAGTGTCGTGAATGTAAAAAATCATTTACTTTGAAACATCATTTGGTTACCCACACACGCGTACACACAAGAGAGCGGCCGTTTGTCTGTCCGGAGTGTGGCAGAGCATTCCCGCTAAAACGTCACTTAGTGACACACAGCAAATTTCATTCAGGCGAACGGCCATACGTTTGTTCTGAGTGCGGTGAATCATTTTCACAAAAGGATCATCTCACTATGCACTCGCGCTTCCATGGCAGCCTCCATCCATTTGTTTGTCCTGACTGCGGGGCAACCTTCCAGAGGAAATTTGAGCTTGTTAATCACGGTCGTCTTCATGGTCGAGTCCCGCACTCGTGCACCGTGTGCGGAAAAGAATTTTTACAGAAGAGAACTTTGCTTGCTCATATGCGTCTTCATACTGGTGAAACCCCATTTGCGTGTACTGTATGCGGTGAAGCATTTGCTCGTAAGGTTGATTTGGTAGCTCATTCAAAGATGCATAATGCCATTACTGATGAAAAAACCCTTACTTGCAGGTATTTATTCATTTATTTTTTTTTTAAATAATAAAAATAGTATGTGGTGGTGTATTGTACCATAATAAATTTATTAAAAGCTATACTAAATACAAATAATTATTTTTACAGAGAGTGCGGCTTGGACTTTTCCAATCGAGAAGCACTTACTCTTCACTTGAGGTTACATACGGGTGACAGAACTCTTGTAACCGATTTATGTGGATTAGCAGCTGCTTTTCAACAAACTCCAGGGCACTTTTTAACACAAAATACTACTGGAGCTCATCAGGTAGATTAAACTCAAACATTGTATGTAATTTTCAAAAATTTAACAAATTTTACAATTAAAGTATTTACAGATAAACGGACCGATCAGCACTCCTGGAGTAAGTCATATGCAATGTGCTACTCAAACATCTCCACCAGCTGGACCTAAACCTAAACCTCACTTGTGCCCTGATTGTGGTCGTGGGTTTGCTCAAAAGCATGGGCTTTCACAGCATCAACGACGTCATACTGACGGAAGCTGTCATATACGATCGCATGTCTGTGACAAATGTGGAAAAGCATTTTTCCAAAAAAATCATCTCCTGCTTCATCAACGTCAACATATGGATCCACCACCAAGTATATTACGACAACAGCAGAGATTAGCAGCCCAAGCTGCTGCTCAAGCTCAGCAAGGTCAACAGCCGAATACCCAACAACAAAATCAGGGACAGCAACAAAATCAACAAACTCAACAGACAAATCAACAACAGCAACAAGTTCAGCAGGCACAGCAACAGGCTCAACAGCAAGCCCAACAACAGGTTCAACAGCAACAAGCCCAACAACAGACACAACAGAATCAGCAACAAGTGCAACAACAGCCACAACAATCTCAACAGACATGTACCGTCGACACCAAGACTATTCAATTGCAGGCAATTCAGCAACAAGTACAACAGCAGGTACAACAACAAGTGCAACAGCATCAGCAACAACAACAACAACAACAACAACAACAAAAAAAATTAAAATAAATACGTCTATATATATAAATAAATATCTGATTAGATTCTTAAGTACAAGAAGGTCCTGGGTTAACGTCCCGTTTGCGAATTGGCCAGATTTTTTAAAAACTGGTTTCCCAGATACTAAAGTTAATTTTAAAAATAAAATAAAGAAAATTATTTAAGTATAAATAAATGTACCTCCTATCTCTTGAGCGTTCATTCTCACTTATAATTACCTTCACGCTGACATAAATAAAGAAACGACATCGAGTGAGATAACGCGTGTTAAGATATTCGTTGTGTGGGCCTTTGGGTTTCAACTCAACTCTTGTATTCATACAATATTGTAAGTATGTATTATATTGCTGGATATAATACAAAACTATTCGTACATATAATACATAAATGAGATAGGAGCCAGTTTAGTGTCTATACACTGATAGAAGGATTTGTTTATTTTCAATAAGCTTTATTAATTGTTAATAAATAATTTTTTAACATTATAGGATTCAATAAATATTTATTAATAATTAATATAATTATTTATTAAATACGATTTATTAAATGTTAATAATTATTTGTTAATTTATAATAATAACAATAACAATAATAATTTTATCAATGGTAGTGATGACAATGACAATGATGAAAATGACGACGATGAACGAAACCAAGACGATGACAATGACGCAGATGCACTACTAAATGCGCACCCTGCTGCTACCCATTGCACGCACTTTTCTTGTACTACCATAACACACTAGTTATATATTTATTATAAATATATAAATATAAATATATAAATATATATTTAGAAGAGAGATAAAAAGAAATTACGAGGAAATAAGGCATCAAGTAATCGATTTTATTACAAGAGTTATATATAATTATAAATATATAAATATATATAAATATTAATTATATATATATATGTATAAATATATCTTGTGTATTTATATATATATATATATACACATAGTATTTATATATATATATAAAGATAAACAAATTATACATATTCTATTCTAATTATCTGTAAGGCTTGTAACAAGGATAAAAATAAAAATAACCATATATTAGTGTTTTACATATACTTTAATCTATCATTTAATTTTTTAGAATGTATGTAAAATTAACGTACTAAAAATCATAAAGGTGAAAAATAATAATAATTATTATATTAATAATAATAATAATAATAATAAAACAAAATTAGTTGCCTTATCTATATTGAAAATATAAAACTTTAAACAAATATATATTAACTATTTTTTTTTGGATGCGATAAAAAAATAATTTAAATTTAAATCATAAAAAGAAATACGCGCAAATAAAAAACAAATGCATCACGTTATTTTTTTCATTTTAAATTTTAATTTGTAGGGTATAAATTTATAAATAAATAAAAGTAAAATAAAATATTACACATTGAATAAATAACAAAGTAAAAATCAAAATGTTCAATTTTGCCCTATCACCATTAATTCCTACTCCAAAATGCATACATTTTTTATTTATCAATTTTATTGCATAATTAATATATTTTTTTTAAAATATCAACTTTCTAAGAAAGTACTTGCAGCAACATATCCTGTAAGCAACAGACTCATATTATATCCATGTGATAGTGATATATAGAGAAAGGATTTATAGTCAGTCATAGTATGGTTGAAACAAGTGTGAAAGGCCGACATTTATGTCTGGATATCTGTATAAGAAAGGACGAGATCATTGCGCACTTGCCGCGCCAGTTTCGACGCAGATTAAACTCTTGTTTATGTTCTATGAGTATTCAACCCTCACGCGAATCTATCGTCAGCTTTTGCGTCATTCAATGTTACATGTTTTTTTACTTCCTATTGTTAGTTTTATCTCTAACTAAAATACAATAAACCCATGCTTTAATTCTTAAATATATTACCCGTATTATCTATTAGTAACTGAGAGAAAAAATTTTAACAATAAAATTACAGAAAATATAATAATAATAATTATAATAAGCACGGTGAGTTACTTTGGTAATAAAGTAACGTAATTTTTTCTTTTGATAAAAAAGAAAATCAGTTTTCAGTGCAACAAAAATTTAAAGTTTTAAGATTTATTGTGAAAAACTATTTTTAATAAATAATTAAATGAATTAAAAATTAAATAAAATACTCAAGTAATTTTCTTTGTTCTCCTCTAAGCAGAAAAAAAAATTTTAAAAAAGACGCGTTGATTGTTCCTCTCTCATGGGGTTACAGAGCGCCAGCTATTATCAATGTCCGGAAGCACTTGGAGCTTAACACGCATGCGCCTGTGTAAGTTTATTTGACCAAAATAAATCGAAATATGTGTGTTTGTATCACATATACATAGTGTAAGTAAATGTGTATGGTATGACAGAAAGCGAGACAAGACAGCGGAGGAATATATAGGTGGAAGAAAGAAGGAAGGATTTGTGATGATACAGTGGGTAGTTGTATCAGTTAGTGGGTTCGTATCGAGAACATTGGTTTGCGTTTGGTGCTTGGCGCTGTCGCTGGCCAGACCAGAGGACAGAAGACAATGAGAGACAGAGATAGCCAACAGTTAGTTGTATGGTAACGTTAAAGCAATAGCTTCAAGTGGAGATTGCGCTACTGCGGCTTGTAGTGTAGTGATGATAAAAACGAATTGTTATTCTTTATATTCAATGTAAAACGAAGTAAAAGCCGTGATTCGTTTTCGAATATAAGGATTATAAAAAACAATAACTATTTATCGTGTTTGTTGCTGTTGTCACGTATGCATATGGAGGTGTGTAATATATTATTTATTAATTTAATTTATAGATTATATACTTTATACACATAATAAATATAAATACATATATATGTACGCGTCTTTGTTTGGTTTTTTGACAACACGCGCTGTAAGCAGTGACCTAGACAGCTGAGAAACTCGCCATTTTACTGCTATTATTTTAATTTATTTATTTATATTTATTATTTTAAATTATTTTTTATCTCGGAAGTGTTGACTTTTTTTTTTTTTATTATTTACTAAAAGTTTAAATATTCTGTAATTTCAGCTTGAGGGAAAAATCGAAACGCAGTTAATGATTGCCTATAGACGTATTTTTGAAACTACGCATCAGCCTTTTTTTTCAAAGCTTCCCGCTTTATTTGATAACAGTAATTTACTTAATTACATGAAATATATCCATAATTATATTCGAAGAAAGAAGAAACATAATTTACAGTAAAAATAACGTAATGTTCTTTGTTCGGTTGGTTAAACTTAGAAAAACTCAATCGATGTGGGAGAGATCTCCATTTGACTTTGTCATTCTTCAGCTGTAACTATCCTTTCTCTCTTTATTTCTCTCTCACTAGAGTTTTGTATACATTCTCAGCTGATAGGAAGCTTGTGTCAGCTGCCCTGGCGACAGAGAAAAAGAGAGTACTAAATATGAAACGTGCGCAGATCTATTTGTTACTTTTCATGGCTAAGATACTATACTCTATTTACATTATTTTTTATATCTTCATCTTTATAATTTTGAATTTTATTTTCATTTCTTCTCAGCTAAAATCAGCTCATCTTTTACATTACCTGTTTGTCAATTCTGTTTATTATCTATTCCAGCTGTCACGTGTTATTTAGCTTCAGGTCATGCTTACATTATATTAGCTTTTCCGTACTCTTTCATACCATCAATTGACATTAATGTCCACGTTGTACTTGTTCTTTTCATAACAAGTCAAGTCCTACTTTAGATTCACGACCTATATCCACCCGAAATTCATTCGCTGATAATTGCTCATATATATATATATATATACGCTTCTTTTTGACTATCTAATCTTAAAAGATCAAAAACAAAACATTTGTCTGCTTATAAACATTTATATATACGTTTAGTTATATGATGTAGTAATAAAATAATAATTTTAATAATGACTATGATGAAGAAGAAACAATGAGAATTATATGTATAAATATACATTTTGTTTACATCAACAGCTGATATGACAAACTTATAGCTTGTATCACAATCCGCGACCTTATCAGTACATATTACCAAGATCAAATCTATTTTACGATCAATACAGCTTATATATATATATATGAATTACTTTGGTGATAATCGACATGCGCGATTTTATTAAGCTTGCAAACTAAAATATAACCGACTTCAATTCGCATCATATAATTCTTTTTTTTAATTTTTTTTGCCCTTGTCATGTGATGGTTGCTAGGTCGTTAATAAAATTAATACCTATACATACAATAGCTGTTATTTTATGTCGTAATTGACTGATGAAATTAGACACTAAGAACTATTTTTCTTTTATTTTAAACTTTTATTTCTAAGCTGAATTGTTATGAAATTACTTCTACTCAAGAACAATAAAAGATTCATTACATTACATCGTATATAATTTATTATGCATATAAAAAGTATGTATAATTATTGCTCATGACTCATTGAATAATAAGTCTAAGGTTCCTGCACTTTTTTTAATAACTTTAGTATCATATTTGGTTTATTGATTACATTAATTTTTAATTTTTTATGGTTTAGGTTTCTTAATTAATCACAAATTAAAAAAATAAAAACAGCCGTAGTATATTTGATGATAATAATTGATAAGATAACGTTTGTTTACTTCCTGAATAATTTTAGGTAGGCTTTAAATAAATTTAAAGATTGCATTTGTGTTCATAGTGAAAATTTTATAAAAATTCTATTATTTTTTTTTTTTTTTAAGATACTGAACTTTAAAAAATTTGATTACATGTTATACAAAAAGTTAATATCAAGAAGTTTAGAAAACATGCTGGCTTTTTTTTATTTTTTAAGTTGTGACTTCTGGTATTATTATTAAAAAAATCGATGACAGCCACAGAGTTTGTGCAAAAATATATTTTTTAAAAATCTTATTATGCAGGTATCAATATAAAATCTTTTATAATTATTGAACTACTTTCATCAATTCCTGAAAGCTTAATTATTTATCATTCTTCTGTATTTATAATTTTTAAATTGATCAGTAATTAGTGTTCTATTTTTGGATTAATTATATAAATTATAAATATCTTCTACAACCAAAAATGGCTTAGCTCACTGTTATTATCATTAATAGTAGCGTATGATAATAACTTGAATTTTTTTTCTTTTTTTATCGGAAAGTTAACATTATATTTAGTGTCTATTACCTCTTCTCATACATCTAACTTTGTCTGTATCGTCGTATCCGAGCGTTCATTTTTTGCCAATTTTTATGTTCGCTTCGAGCGATTCAATGAACTCAAACGTACTTCATTGACCTTAGAGTCGGTCTGGCTGAAAACGTCTACGTACTTTTTTTTTTTTTTTTTTTTTTTTTTTTTTCTACAGGCCGTAAAGAATAATGAAAAAAAAAAAAAAGAATAAATATGCCAACATTAAACTATTAAAAGATACTTTTTTCACAAAAAGGTTCATTTTTCCTATTTTGGATAAATAAATTTTTTTTTTTTTTTAACCAACGAAATTGCTTTTAATCCAAAATAACTTCACTCTTTCTAATATATTCTTGAAGTAAGAATAAATATAACATAATGTTGTAAAAAAATTCTTCTTTCCGTAGAAAGTTTTTTTTATCTTTTTTTTTAGATTTACATTAAATATTTATAAGAAAAACTGATAAATAAATTTTATCAAATGAAATTTTTTTTTTGTTATTTTAAAAACAGGTGTCCCTGAACCGACGCTGCTTGAACCAGCTTAACAGCTGATCGGAGTACGAGGCGGCGGTGAACAGGGCCACAATTGCACCACCACCCCCGCGAATAGAAGAAAATATTGAATAAAACAAAATTAATCAATGAAAGAATTTTATTGATAATTGTTTTAATTGAACAGAACAGATCAAGGAGTGCTTGGAGGAAATAACAAAGTAAAATTATACAAACTAAACTGAAATTCAAGAAAATATAAATAAACAAATTTACACATATATATTTAACTCAACATTGAGAATAATCGAGAGAGCAGTGAAACAAGACACCTGTAATTTTGACGAAAATTTGATCAAACATGGTCAAAACTTTTCAAGCTTATTTACCCTCTTGCCATCGCACTTACTCGTGCATACACTGCCGTGCTCACCTCGCTAATCACGATGAACTCATCTCAAAGGTAAATATACTAATTAATAATTCATTTAATGTTAGGAAGCTGTTGAATTTATTTTTTTGGCAATTATAACTAATGTATTTTACTTTTTTATCACAGTCCTTCCAAGGTAGCCAAGGTCGTGCCTATCTCTTCAATTCCGTGTAAGAAATCAATTAATTCTATCAGTTGCAATAAATTTATAATTTTATTCTTCATTGTATATAGATTTTTATTATTTTAATACTATTTGATGTTTTTAATTTTTAAACAGGGTTAATGTTGGTTGCGGTCCTGCTGAAGAGCGAGTCCTGCTAACAGGTCTTCATGCTGTCGCAGATATTTATTGCGAATGTTGTAAAACTACTCTCGGTTGGAAATATGTAAGTTCCGATCATCCGATCCGATTATTTATAATATTTAAATTAGCTGAAAGTTTTTCCAATGAATAACTTATTGGAAAAAAAAAATTAAAAGCGTATTTTTTTAATGAAACGTGCAGAAATGCAAAAAAAAAAATTTTCTCCAAACTAAAAAATTTTTTTGGAGCATAAGGGCGTAAAAAATTTTTTTTTTTTTTTTTAGTAATTTGACTCTAATAACGTTGAATTTGCAGGAGCATGCGTTTGAATCGAGTCAAAAATACAAGGAGGGTAAGTTTATAATTGAGTTGGCTCATATGATCAAGGAAAATGGATGGGAATGAAATTGAAGATAGGGGGGTCATGACACACCACCCCTGCTTACTGAAACTTCATAAAATCAATTTCTTGAAAAAAAATAATTTTTAAAATAACTAACTAAACTGAAAACATAAGTATAATGCCTATAATGTTGTTCTCGTGTTGCAATGTGCGGCGCCCTATCCCTAATACAAAAAGTTGGAAAAAGAAAACAAAACAATACAACAACAAAAAAAACAATAGCCCTCCTTTGACAAACCACCAACGAAAGTCTGTGATTTCATTTGTGATTTGTAATCTTAGTAACGTTTTTCCGTTCTGGACAATTCACAAGAAAGAATATATAATAGTGATCGTTTTTTTGTTTCTCCGTAAATTACGTGGATTAAGGAGAAGAGAAAAGCGATATAATAAATAATAAATATAAATGATGGATTTAAAAGAATGGAAGGACTAAGTAAGAATAATGCAATTAATTGCTGCTTAAAGATGAATATTGTAAAGAAATTATTTTTGAGATTGATAGGATCGTGGAATAAGTAAAGATTTTAAATAAATAATATGTAAGTAGATTTTTTGCAAGGATTGGTGTGAAGAAATAATTGTTCAAAAAGTTTCAGCGATGCTGTTAAAGTAAAGATGATGTGCAGACAACAAAAATTATTAATTTTAATTTAGAGCAGGTTAAAAAATAATATGTTAATAACGATGATGATGATGATGATGATAAACATTTACTTGTAACAGTTGAGTGCCCTCTTATTTTTGTTCCATTTATTTACTTCTTTTTCTTTCTCTGTGTTTGTTTTTTTTTTTTTTTTCTTATTTATAATAATATAACTGCCAAATTACGACGACCACGGCGTCGATAACTCTGGCATATAAATTTTTGTGTGGCACTCGTTAACAGTTTTTTTTTAAACAACATAAAAAGTATGATTAAATTCAATGTTTAAATGAAAATATGAAAAACAAACAATTGCCGAATATTGTTAAAAAATAATTAATCAATTGAAAAAATGATAATATTTATCGTAAGCAGTGCAAATACAGACTGCTAGATTAAGTTAAGATTGACTGCCTTGCCTGTCGATGACAAACCCATTGTCTGTCGCATCTATCGTTGGAATTTCACTGCCGATATTCCTAAAATATAATTAACAAAAAATGAAAATTAAGGTAAATGAATTAAGAAAAATAAAAAAATAAAAAAATAAACAATTGGATGAAAATAAAACTTGCCATCGTTAAGGCACAGTCGTAGCTCTACATTGATTAGCTTATTGAAGCCTATATTATAATATTGTAGAACGTATAATATAATTAATAATATAAGAGCATGATTGAGTGAGTGAATGAATCGAACACATATTAAATTGAATTAGAAAAATTAAACAACAGGAGACCATGGAATGTAAAAGTTTAGGCTTAGCTTGGAATCGTAAAAAAATGTGATCAAGTATGCTCGCTTGATTTTTTTTACTTTATATCATAATCTCGAATGGTTAATACTACACTATAAATTAAATTGTTTTAATTGAAAATACTTGAGTGATCTGTTGTTATTAAAGTACACTATAGTTTCTATCCTATAATATTTGTAAGACTACCATGTATTTAAATGGCAATAAAATACTCAAGTATTTCAAATTTTAATATTTTAATTTACAGAGTACGTATGTCAAAAACTCATTTCTTTGTCTACCAGATATTTGATAATTTTCAATCATTGAAAAAAATTTGTTAATTAGTTTGTTTAAATTAAAACTATTATAATTACAGTTGAAACCGTTGGTAACAATATCGAAGTGACCGTTGGCTTACAGCTATTATAGCTAATCGTTATAATAAACAATGCCCGATAAGGAAAAACACTCTAAGTATATTTATTACAATAAATTTACATCTATTATTTTATATCTTACATTTCATAACGTTAACTAAATTTTTTTTTTTTTTTTAATTAAAATGTTACTCCAAAAAATGGCTTGCTGTCAACTAATCAGATAAACAATATTCCGAATTAGAAAAAATTTTATGTACTTTTAGATGGCTCATTCATTGAATCCATGCATATAGAAATAGTACTGTTTTGAAGAAAACTTTGGTTAAAATTTTGGAGAACCCGTGATTCGTCATTATACACATTTCAATATTCTCTATGTAGTATTTTGCTTATTCAGCATATTATCGATCTGATTAGTTGACCGTAACCTTAGAAAATCTGTTATTTTAGATTGCTTTTACAATGAAAATTAATTTAGCAGCGACATTTGATAATTTTAAGAATTTTTTTAACAAGTAAATTATAGTAAAAAATGATTAGAAAAAAAAATTGACATGTAGAAATTAAAAAAAAATAAAAAATGCAATTTTTTATAACTAATTTTTTGGAACAAATTTATTTGTTAAAAATAAATAAGAAATTATATTTTGAACATAGCTGTTATAAGAGATATCGCTATCTACGGTTTTAACTGTATTGTTAATTCTGCATGATACAGAAAATTGATGTCTTTCACTGATTATTATTTTTTTGTACCATTGAATTTATACATAAATAGAAACAAACATACATTTGTGTTTATGTCATGCGCGTAAATTCGTTATACTAGCGTTTTTTTACGCACGCGATTTGTTGAATTTAAATTAAATGTTTAAAAATAAGGCAATTGCTCATTATTCTTAATATCGATCTCATTTTTAAAATTAAATCATGATAAAAAAAAAAAAAAAAAAAAAAAACTAAGAAAAGGTCAATCAATAAGGATTAGTTTTAATTGAATTTGTCTTTTTTGTTTTTTATCTGTGTAAAAACAATTGTTCCTTCTGCGTAATGATACACAACTGAATAATGGAAATAAATTTTTTAATAACAATGGTTGAGTAGATTAATATAATAATAAATTATTATTATTTTTTTATTTATTTGTTTTAAGTCGCATAAACTACTAAGGTCATGAGCGACTACTGTAGAGAGTAAACTTTCTGTGGTTGGACTCGTTTTATTTATGCTGAACAGAATAATAACATTTAAGTGTTGAAACATATTCATTGGTGTACGCCGGGCTCGAACCCGGTTCAATGCTTTGGTAAGCAAGAGCCGGTAGGCTACTGCGCGCCCACAAATTATTATTATTATTATTATTATTATTATTATTATTAATTAAATCTTATTATCTGAAACTTATGTTTGTAATAGAGAAATTTCCGAGTGTATGTAATATCTAAACTGCAATGATAAATTATATTATATCTCAAATATAAGTAAATATCGAGTGAAGTATAAAAAATTTGTTTCATAATTATTATGATGATATGATATATGTACATCAATGCTCTTGTGTCAATCACATGTGACAAAAAATAGATAAAAACTATGTCACTCAATACGGTGCCAATGGCATGAAGACATTGAGGTTCTGATTGGCTAATCACAGATAATTTTTAGATTGTTAAGTAACAAAAATTATTTTATTAATCATGATTTATTTTTATGATTACTGTTTTTTCATGTAACTTGATGAATTGAATAAGCTAAGCGCATTTTTACAAAAACCTAACATTATTGTTTGTGTAATTTATCTAATAGAAAAAAAAAAAAAGAGTATGTGAATTTTTGTGGCGGCCTAATCTTTGCTAGGTCTCTCGAAAGTACTTTTGATATATATATATATGTGCTAAACATAAAAAAATATATGTATATATCGATGGTCCTTGTTTATCATAATTTCGATTTTTTTTTTTTCACGACAATACATTGGTTCTAAACAAATAGGAAAGAGTTCCTACCAAATTTGACATTGGGTATTTTATACGATCAAGAATTGAACTTTTTGATGATACTGAAGTTAGCAGATGTCTAAAAATTTTTAATTTTTTTTATTAATTAAATTACAACTAAAAAGACATTTATAAAAAATTGCACTTATAGTTTTTCAAGTATTTTACATGTGAAATTTTTTTTCTTAATTGTCTATAATTGAAATTTTTTCAATAAAAAATTTCTTCAAATTTTGAAATGTCGGCTAACTTCATTTTCATACTTTTTGCTTTATACTACTTAGTAAACAGTGTATTATTAGAGATAAGTAAACAAAATTTCAAATTTTCACGTCTTTATTTAGTACATTACTAAATCAAAACAGAGTTTAAATGATTGACCGTATGAAATACTTGTACTTTTTTGCTTCAAACTTTACTTGTTATGAAGGCAAAATTAAAATGTCAAATCGAAGGAGATAATTTTTTATTAATTGAAAGCTGACTTATCATAAAAAATTGGGAGATACCCTGAATAAAAACTATCTAAATATATACATATACATCTATTCTAATATCCAATTATTTTTCTGTAATTTCCTTCTTTATAAAAAAAAATTGAAAAAATAATATCGAGTTCACTGACCACGAATTAATTTAACTCAAAAATAGGGTAAAGTATTCTTTAGTCACTCACTGATGTTCAAACCACCAAATTTACAGAATTTGCTTTGTAAAGATATGTTGATAATAAAATAAATGACAATTAAAAATGGAAAACAGGATAAAATGGATATATTTGTTTAACATCGATAAATTTTTGAGAATAAGAACAATTTTATTAAAATAATCAATTATCACAAACTGTAGTATTGAAAATCATTTTAAACCCAATAGTTCAGAATTTATATAAGGATTATTATCACTTTATTTTGAATAAAAATATTTTCATGTAAAGGCGTTCAGTGTTTTTAGGTGCTTATTTACTATATACATAAAATTTAGTATTAAATAAAGTTGTAATTATTCTTTAATAATTATATGATACTAAAGTTAGCCGACGTTTTTAATTATTTGATTTTTTTTTTAATTAAATTAAAACAGAAAAATATTTTTAAAAAAATTTCACTTACAGTTTTTGAAGTTTCTTACAAGTGACATTTTTTAAAAATTTTTTTGTAATAAATTTTGTAATAAAAAAAAATTCTAAAAATTTTAAAATTTTAGTTAACTTAATTTTCATAATAATTATAGTCAAATGGCTACCCGTCATAAGAAATATTTTTTTCTAATATTTTTACCTTTTCTCTTTACCGTTACTTTCGTTCTTGGCTATTTATACTTACATTTTTAAATACAAATTTAATATTGTATTATATTACTTAATTTTTAGAGAAATCATCTCGAAATTAGCACGCGAAGAGGAACTACATTCTAATTAATTAAATTAATCCAATCCTTAGTTCATACCGGATGTAAACTTGCACAGATGTAAAATATCGAGTATATATATATAATAACATATGTATTTACCACGTGGTGTAGTATAGCTATCCCCACTCTAATACCATGCTCGTAAGCTCGTATATACATCTTCGTTTAACACCGCGAGAAAGTGCTACTACTTATACTGTAAAATTGCTATTTTTAAATGTATATGGTATCCTTATTGCTCTTATAAGAAAATTATTTAAAAACTGTAAAATATCATCGAATTATTTTGATATTACTACTTTCATAATTTCAAAACAGATATAAATGTAAAAGAAATCAAAATGGTCCGGTATCTATTCTACATGGGTTATATTGGTACACGTTACAGGTAAACAAATTTTAAAACGACAAATTATCATTTTATTTTACTTAATTATTTATTTTTTTAGAGGAGCGGCAAAACAAATAGGTTGTGAAAGATTAATCGACGTAGATTCAGTTCAAGGTGCAATTGAAGCAGCATTATCCACTACCTTAAAACCTAGAAGTAGATGTTATCCTAAGGTACAAATTTCAAGCAGGTAATAATCATCGGGGAAAAAAATTTATTGTGATAATTATTCATCTTATTAAAAAATTATCCATATTTGACTAGAATATTGTAATGATGAAAAAAATATTTTAGAACAGATGCTGGTGTTCATGCACTTTTTAATACTGCTCAAGTGGATTTGGAGCATCCAACAGATCCGTTTTATGATACAGAAACGATCATCCGAAGACTTAACGCATGGTTTTCCCGGTGTGGTCATGAGATAAGAATAACAACAATTTATCCTATTACAGACGATTTTGATCCTCGTAGAAATGCTAAATCACGAAGTTATTTCTATCGTTTAATGGTTGCAAAAAATTTCCATGAGCATAAAGTACCAATTTCTGAATTACAACGTGCTTGGCATATTAGGTATTTATTTGTTTTATCCTAATCAATTAAGTATGTACTTATTAATATTGTTATTTTTTACAGAGGTGAAAATATTGATATCGACGCATTAAGAAATGCAACAAGACTTTTTATGGGAACGAAAAATTTTGAAACATTTGCTGGTAAAAACCGTACAAATAGAGAAATAAGATACGTAAGGAGTTTAAATAGTTTAACTATTGATTCAGCAGCTCCTTTTATGCCATTTGATCCTTTGTCAGATCGTTTCCATTTTTGGCATATAAATATTAGTGCACGTGCATTTCTCTACAACCAAGTGAGAAAAATAGTTGGAGCTCTGGTGGGTATTGCTTCCGGTATTATTAATGAACGGGATATTTTAACAATGTTACACGTTCCATCAAATCTAAATTGGGATCCAAGAATTCAAATGGCACCACCTCAAGGATTGTTTCTTAAGAATATTGAATATGATCAAGAAGAATTAGCCAACTGTATTTTAAAAACTCAAGATGCCCCACGACCAAGTAAATTATTAGCGATCATTAATTAATTAATTAATAATAACGTTACACTCAAGTTATCTAATAAGCTAAGTAAGGTGTAATTTAAGTAAATCTGATTAATATTGTTAAATATAAATAAAATATTGTACAGGACTTTTTAAATTATAAGATGGATTTTTCGAGTCTTATTAAAAATCGTAAGAAAGTATTGAAACCGACAAAAACAATTGTAACAAACACATCAGGTGAAAAATTTGAAATTTCAAGTGGTATTGTTCGTGATTTAGGAATCAAAGTTTCGCCATTTATTATTGATGATAAACCAAATCTCAATATAGATATGATAATTCCTGGTTTATTTCTCAGCTCGCAAGATCCAGTTATCGACCTAGATATTTTAAATTCTCATAAAATAAAACATGTTTTAAGTTTGGGAATTGATCCTGACATTAAATTTCACGGGATAAACTATTATTACGTTAATATTCTTGACTTACCTGAATTTGATTTGCTTGAAGTGTTAAACAACTGTATAGAAATAATTCATAAAAATATAAATGAAAATATTTTAGTACACTGTAATGCTGGTGTATCAAGATCACCGACAATTATAATTGGATACTTAATGGCCTTAAAAAAAATATCCTATAGCCAGTCTTATGAAATTGTTAAAAACAAACGCTACATTCGTCCAAATGATGGTTTTGTTAATAAATTAATGAATCTTCAACATCAAGATCTACCTCAGGTTGACAAAATTAACTAAAATTATAATCATAATACACTAGAAGCAGAATTTAAGGGAATGAAAAAAATTATTGTGCGTTTATAATAAATAATAAAAGGAAAAAATTAAAAGAGGGGAAAATTTGGAAATAATTATTCTTCAACAGTTCATTTTATATGATATAACCTTATGATATTTATGTTTTAATCATATTGTATACTCAATATGTAGTTAATATTTTTCAATTACATCGTTTATTACATCCTAAAACGCATAGAAAAGTTTTTATATTACTTTTTTGTATGCATATTTTTTTTCTAGTATGTCATAATTAATTCATCTTCTCATGCAACTACAACTTTAATAGTTAATTGAATTCAAGCAATTGAAAAATTTCTTCCTTCGCTTGGCATTCATTCCGTACGTTTGGCAATGATTATATTTCATAATATCATATGTAATGATAATAATCTTCATGTAAAGAGATAGTAATAGGTCGATCGTAGGCTTATGAATTAATTGTAGATCTAAAAAATATAAATGAATTTTTCTATATTCCCGAAATGTATCTTGATTATTCGATTTTTTTTTTTTTTTTTTTTTTTTTTTTTTTTTTTTTCTCATACATATAACTTACAAGCGTATATGAATTATTATTTTCTACACTATAATTAGTAAAGTAAATATTAGTTTACTTAAAATTTTCTTTTTTATAAATTTATTTTTGTAGTTTTATTTTATTATTTTTATTATTAATCTACTTTTTTGCATTTTTTTAGATTAATTTTAATTTTACTTAGCGTATGACGTCACTTACTCTCATGAAAACCCCATATATTTTTTTTTCATTCATATACAGTTATTTTAATAGAATAATTAATTATCAATTAATAATTTACTAGTTAGTATTTATTATAACATTATATTCACATTCTACTAATTGAAAATGAGCTGTCTTGAAGAAAATAGACAAGGCACTTTTAACAGAATAAGTATTTTTATTTATTATTCATGTTTTTATCTTAAATTATTTATTTCAATTTATTTTTTTTTTTTATTTTTCGTCATTCATTATATTTATTTTTTTTTTCATTGTTTTATTTTCTTCATTTATATCTTATCACTTAATTGGCCTCATACGGATATATATGCACGAGTTTAATTCGTAGAAAAAACAATTGATAAAAAATTTATTACGCAAAATTATGATTTCATAATCAATTAAATCAATTACGGCGAAACAATTCAGGAATTGATTAATTTCTACCTTAATTTTGCTGTATATTTTTTTGCACCTAAATAGTCAATAACCATCGAGTATTAAAAGTCATTTAGTAAAAATTTAAAACTTGTTTCGAGAAATTATTGTTAAAAAAAAAAAAATTATAATAACAATTTTAATAAAAAGAAATCCTTCAAAAGGACATATAAATTTCTATGAAGCCACAGTCTTAAGTACAATATATCTGTATCTATAAGGCATTATTTATTTATCTAATAAATTAATTTGTATGATAATTTATTTTTGTTACTTTGTAACAAGAATTTTTAAAAGCAACGAATTAAATTTTTAAAAAATCTACGAGTATATAATGCATTGCAGTTACAGATATATGACATAAAAAATGGTTATTAAAGTCGTTTTAATTAAGAGAAAACATTCTAGTATTTAGCGGTATCAGTGAAACCAGTTTCAAAGTCCAAGAGAGTGGCCTAAGTCGTTATAATGCAGCAGCGTCAACAATGGATTAGGGAAGCAACAACCAACTTTAATTTAATATTAAAGTTGATCTTTTTTTTTTTTTTTTTTATCATTGTATACTTTTGATATTAATTTATGTGAAAGAAATTTATCATACTCAATTAAACTGTCGTTTAACGAATATTTACTTAAGTGAATTAGCGAGAACATCCCGACGTTTACCCCAAGGTCCTTCTGGCGTAGCAACAGACACTTGATTCGAATCATGGCCTACAAATGTCGGAAAGTCCGCTACACTAGCAGTGTCTGGAGCATTTCTTGGCTGCTGTGATTGTTGTTGTTGCTCCCATGGGCCTCCTTTTACTACAAAACCTGAATCACTTTCGTTGCTGCCAAGAGGTCGGTCTGATTCATGTTTACCCCCACGGATTGACTTAGTACGTTCACGATCCTCAAGATCTTGCAACTGGAATTAAAAATATTCACATTAGTTTTTAATTTAAAGAGAAAAAAAAAAAAAAAAGAAAAAAAAATTAAACTTACATATTCATACTCTAAATTCAAAAGATGTTCGCGTGCATCAGTGACATTTTCTTCACTGCCGATAATAACGACTAGATCAGGATCTGAGTCAGTTTTTCGTGGAAATTTAATCTCGACTTTATAATCTTCCATTATCCTGCGTATATTTTTACCACGCGCACCAATAAATCGTGAATGGACAGCAGAATCGATTTTGATTTCTTCTTTAGCTAAACCATTAACAATCTTTAGAATTTCTTCTTTAGCTTCATGAGTATTTTTTTCAAATCCAGTGATAGTTATGGTATTTTCTTCAGGATCTCCTTTTTTAGGAAAATCGACTTGTACATCAAAATCAGTACGAATTTTTTTAATAACTACACCACCACGGCCAATTAATTTCGGATGAAATTCTGGACTAACTTGAAACTTTAATTCGTATGATTTAAGTGCTCGTTCTTGTCGTTTAGCTTCTAAGTCTTCAACACGTTCTAAAATAGCCTGTTTAGCCTCTTCAATATTTGCAGGAGCACCGCAAATTTCAATATAATCTTTCTTTTGATCAGCAGGTGATATGTTAATATGAACGTCATACTTAGACATGAGTACACGTACATCACGACCAGATTTACCGATAATAAGACGATGAAGGTCAAATGGTACATCAACTTGGACAGTTATTGGTACTAGATCTAACAACGCTTTTTTAGCTTTCTCAACATTTTCTGGCTGTCCAGTAATACGAATAATATCACAAGGAGGTGGACCGTGATTCATTTCAGTCTCTTGATTTTTATCACCATTGATCTGTTGCTCATGTTGTGGTTCTTGCAGAGATTGTTCATCATAATTTATTTGTTCACGTTCTGGGAATTTAATCTGTACATCATATTCAGATGTGACCATCTGTACCTTACTTCCTTTAGAGCCCATAACTGTTCGATGATGTACTTGCGGGATAATACATTCAATAGTAATTTTTGATTCCAATTCATGAACAATTTCTCGCATACGTTGTTTAGCTGCTTCTATGCACTCTTTAGAACCTTTTAAAATAACTCGGTCGCTGTCAACGCCAGCACGTGGGAATAAAATTTGCAGACCACCACATTCATCAGCAATACGAGCTAATACACCACCACGACGAGCAACAAAGTATTTGTGATGTTTAGGATCGATAGTTATTTCATCTTCGATAATATTTCCAATTTCTTTAATTGCCAACTCCAGTTCGGCTTTAGCTTTTTCTACGGCTTCTTTCTTACCAATAATCGTTATAATTTCAGGATCCTCGTCTTTGTCAGTCGGAAATACTACACGAGCACCCGTTGATTCTTTTATTTTTTTAATATTTGCTCCTTGACGACCAATTATAAATCTGTGATATATTGTCTTAGCCCGAACAGTGTCTGAAAAACTCATCAATTGTTTTTCATTAGTCTGTTCAAGTAATTGTTGTTTTGCCTTCTCAACGTCTTCTTTAACACCACGTATTATAACCTTATCACTTTTACTTTCTGCAGTTGGAAATTTAATAGTTACCCCACCGCAATCCTCCATTATTGAATGAATTATTTTACCGCCAGTGCCAATAAGAAAATTATAATATTTTGGTGGTATAATAACTTCTTCTTCTACAACGTTACTCATTTCATTTTGGATTTTTTTAATCATATCACGTGCCATTTCAACATTTTCCTTTTTACCTGTGATTACAATAACTTCATCAGCAGAGCCCTCAGATGGTAATTCTATTTTAGTTTGAGTTTCTTCACGTATTTTACGTATATTCATTCCACCACGACCAATGATAAATTTATGAAATTGCTTGTAAATTGGTACTTCTATTGAATAACTATTTTCATCAAGTTCTTTAGCCAATTTCATCAAATATTTATGGCACCTATCAACATCTAATTTAGGACCACGTATTTTAACAACATCATCTTTTTCATTTGGCCCGGGTATTGTTATTTGTACATTATTAAACTTTTCTCTTATTTCTTTAATATTAAAACCCTTTTTACCAATAACACTGGCATAATGACGGTGGTCAATAATAACATCCTTCTCCTTTTCATTTTCTAATTTATTAACAGTCTTCATTAATTTAGCTTCAGCCTCAGTGACACCAGCTTGATTACCTTCTATGCGAATAATATTTTGACCATCTTTTTCAAATATATTGATAAATACGTTTGTTTCTTCTTTTAATCGATTAACTTTACTGCCATTTTTACCAATAATGTGTTTAAAATATCTAGGATCAACTTTAAGTTCAACAAATGTCAATTTATTAATAAGATCTTGAGCATGAGCCTCAACTTGTTCTCTTACTTTTTCAACTTCCTCAGGAGGGCCTTCTATTTTTATTTTATTATCATTTTCAGCAAAATCAACATTCACTTTTGGCAAATCTTCAGTTATTTTTTTAATATTACTACCCTTACGACCGATAATATATTTATGAATCCAGGACGGAGCTTCAACAGTTGCTGTACGTACACTATTAGCTTTTTCATAAACTTTATCCAGAGCTTGTCCTAATTTTTCTTGAGGACCACGTAGTGTTATTGTTCCTGTTGATGAATCTGGACTTGGCATCTCAACACTAACTCCAGTTAATTGTAATATCTCAGTAATAGTTGTGTTACGGGGTCCCATAACATATTTATGCTGAGATTTTGGCACTTCAACGGACACAGAGCTGTAACGTTGCTCCACGTCTCTGTAGATGCTCTCTATTTTTTTCTTAGCTGCAACAACACTTTCTTTCTCACCTGCAATTGTTATCTCATCATTTTGAACTGATGCCGGTGGTATATTTATTCTCAAACTGGTATTAGCATTCATACCAATAGTATTGTCTTTAAAAGCACGAATAAATGGATGATAAATTTTAGGAACGACAATACGCTCAAATGCTTTCCTTGATTGTTCATCAGAAATAACTTTTATTTCATGCTCAGCTTTTTCAATTCCCTCTTTAGTACCTGTAATTACTATTATATCTGATTGTACGTCCACAGATGGTACGTTTATTTTAGTGGCTGTATTTTTTTCCAATTCATTTAAACGCTGACGTTGTTTACCCAAAATCCAACGATGATGTTCTTTTGGGATACTTATCTGCTTGCTTGCTTGAGTTTGAAAAGTCGCAAGTATTCTACGACGTGCTTCTAATACTTGACTTTGCACACCACTCAATACAAACGAAAGAGTTTGACTTTTCGATGAGGATATCTCAATGCGTGCATTTGTCTCTTTCATTATTGCTTGACATGTACGCATCGACTCACCTTCACCAAACTTATCGCTGTGATCTAACTTACGTTCCTCCAATGGTACATGGAAAACAGTTGTTACTGTTTTCGAACCAACTCTCATGCTGTTGTTAACTGGTAGTTGATTTGAAATAGTTGTATGGTTACATGAGCCCGGAAGCTCTGGGAATGTTTCATCATAAGTTGGTGGCTCGTAGGCCGTTCCCTCTTCCATTACTAACTGCTGCTGCATCTTTAGATTGTCCTGGATTATGCCGAGTCCTTACAGTAGCACTGAAAATAATTTTCATCTCAGTTACTCATTTATAATACTCAAATAAAATTAAGAAAAAAAAAAAAAAAAAAAAAAAAAATAAATAAATAAAAAAAACCAATATTTGAATAACTTATTTGTACTCAACAAGTTTTATAAGTTTTTAATTATAAACTTATCAATCTGCTTATACAAGCAACGTAAACATTTTAACAGATGATAAAAATTTATTTTATCAATTTAACCCGAACCATCAATCGCCAAATAAAATTATTATTATATAAATAACAATAATAGTTGTCTATTTAGTTTTTTTTTTTTTTTTTTTTTTTTTTTTTTTTTTTTTTTTGTTCTTTTTTAGACGTAATACCGACATAAACTTAAAAGCAAATTTTATTGTAGAAAAAAAAAATATTTGACACGCCCGGGAAACGATCAAAGCTAATCGGATAATTTTTATAATTAATGAAAGAAAAAAATTAATTTGGAGCTTACTAAATTAACAAATAATTGATATTGATAACCACTAATGACTTAATAAAAAAAAAAAAAAAATTTCTTTAACAATTATTTAAAAAAAGATAATAAAAAGTTATAATTCGTAAATTAAAGTAAAAAAATTTTTAATAAAAATGAGTAATTATTTAATATGATAAAATGCCAGTATGTCAATGACCAGCGGAAGCCGACCACCATATGGAATGGAGTATAATCATGTTTTTTAAGCTTCGCACTTGACACGTCACAAGAACGGTAACCTCATCACCAGCATGACCTTCCCGACACATAAAATAAATAAATAAATTCAAAATCAATAGCAAAACTTTTTAAATATTAAACTAACAATCGATATTAATATTATATGAATCATTTCAATAATTATTTTAAAAAAATAATAACTATAAACGTGTAACATAAGTTGTCACGGAAACATCATGTGTCTGACGGGTCAGAGATGACGAGTAAAAAAAATGAATGAAGGTACTTACTCTACCGTATTTAAAGAGTCCGGTGAAATAATAAATGTATTTCACGACGCCAGTTTACTAGTAATGCACCTAAAACATTACAGCAATAACATATATTATTATTTTTAATTTAATTATTCAATCAATTATATTATTTTTGTCAGTTTTATGTAGTAAAACTCAGACTACACTAGTTTCCTTACCAGTAACGGATCCAATGTGAAGTTGTGAAGAGCGTGCGGCCACGAAAGAAGTCCAACCAAAGCCCCTCCAATCTCGTGAATTATAAATCTATGACGGGCTTACTGTCAAATGTCTAGGTACACGGATTTTAATATATATATCTCAAGAGCGCAATAGCAATATTTTCTTATTTATTTATTTAATTAAGAAGTTTCAATTATTTAGTTATTTTGTCGTTAGATCAATTTTCCCTATTTAATTATTGATTATAATTTATTTTTCCGTGTCAATGTCGATGTATAAATTTATATTTTAATTACGTTATGATATTTATATACTTTTTTTTTTTTTTTTTCATGATGTGTATGAGGTGGTTTTTTCGGTAATCTATCAATAAGTTTTACCGATATTCCTTCATAATTTTTAATTATTAATCTTTGACAATATATATTTGTTACATTAAATTATTGAATACGTGTATCAATATATAGATGACGTGATTTTAGATGGAAAATTATAAATCATGGTCGGTAATATTTTGACTAAATAGTTTCTCACAAGAATTTTAAGTAATTTTCATGAAAAGAAAAATTAAATTGGGTTTTCGGATTTTTCATAGCAAGAGTTTCACGGCTATCTTTTTTTTAATATTATATCAGGAGGATTGTGAAACTTCTTTTATCTTTACTACTAAGTATTTAAGAGATATTTAGATACAATTTTTAGAATACTAGAACGATAAATGACAAAATTATTAAGTCATGTAATTAAAAAAAATTTTTTTATAATCTTATAGAAATTAATTTATTATAAAAAAATATATTCTGCAAATAAACATTAAAAAAAAATTAGTGAAAATTTTAAGTAGAATTTTTAAATTGTTATAAAAATTTTTAAAATTGACAGTTGTAAGCTAACTTCAGTATCATTTTTAATATAACACTGAAGTCAGCTGACATTAGAAATTTTTTTTATAATTTTCTAATAATTAAATTATTATTAAAAAATTTCACAAATGAAAATTAAAAAAAAAAAAAAAAAAAAAACATGAATAGAAATTTTAAAAAGAATTTTTTTATTGTAATTGATTTTTAAAAAAAATTACAGTCAGCTGACTTCACTGTGATGTCATTTTGAATATTTTGAAGTTGGTAGGTAGAAATGTTATGAAAGTAAGATACGTAGATCTGCATACTTATAGCATTGGACAGTGATAAATATAGCCAGCAAATATGTGTAGTAATGTCCATTAGTACGATATTGATGTTGGTGGTGGTAATAATATTGTTGGTGGTGGTGGTGGGAAGTGGAAATGAAAGAAAAAAAAAGAAAATAGGCAGTATAAAAAGTGGAAGCAAGCAAGCAAACAAGAAAGTAGAAGGTGAAGGTGTCTTTTGGTTGCGAGATTAACTTGAGAACCTTTTCTGATTGGCTGGCTGTTCAAAATGTTGGTTATTGCGGGCGATGCCGTGCCGATGTTGTGACGTTAAAGATTTTTATCATACTTATACTAGTGAGAAACATATTCGCAAGTGGATTAAATAATATTAATCAAGCCTGGGAATAAAAAGTAAATAACAACGATGAGCTCGGTGAGTTTTTAACGATTAACTATCTCCTTACTTGATAATATTTTTATTATGATGCTCGGTTGTTTACCTCAGCCAAAAGTTTACTGTGCTTACTGCATGTATGAGGGCGACATAAGATTTAACGCGGGAGAAATGTCTTCCACATACCTAACATGGTTATTTTTTTCTTTTAGATATCTAATGTGGAGAATTTTTCACCGCAAATAATTCGGAGGGTAGCCAAAGAAATGCAAGAATTGGTTAGCCATCCTCCTGAAGGCATTCGAGTTATCATAAATGATGAAGATGTCACTGATATTCAGGCTGTCATCGAGGGTCCTGGTATGTTGATGCTTTCACATTGTCTTGTACTGTAATTGATCACGATTGTTTTATCTGTTGACACAATAACATTTTTTTTTAATCATACTGAAGTCAGCTGATACCTGTCAATTTTTTTTTAATTTTATTATAAGTTAATTACTCTGAAAAAATTATTTGCTGTAGATAAGTTTGTAATAATTGTATATAATAAAATTTATACGAAAATTTCAGCTGGTACTCCTTATGCAGATGGTCACTTTAGAGTTAAACTAGCTTTGGGTAAAGACTTTCCTCAAGGACCTCCAAAAGCTTTCTTCCTCACCAAAATCTTCCACCCAAATGTGGCGAAAAACGGAGAAATATGTGTCAACACTTTGAAAAAAGATTGGAAATCTGATCTTGGAATCAAACATATATTATTAGTAAGTTAATATTTTATAAAATTATTATTAAAAATAATTTAACATAAATATTTATATTTCTAGACTGTAAAGTGCCTACTCATCGTACCTAATGCCGAATCTGCCTTGAATGAAGAGGCAGGAAAAATGCTTCTAGAAAAGTACGATGATTATTCTGAAAGAGCAAAAATGATGACCGAAATCCATGCACAAGTAATATTTCATTTTTTTTTTTTTTATTATTATGTTAGGTAGCTTTAAAATAAACTTTAATAATAATATTGCAAATAATTATTTTCAGGGAGGTGGTAAGGGCAGTAAAGTTGGTATTGAGAGCTGCGCTTCTTCCGCAATCGGTGGTCCTCTTCCAAAAAAACACGCAAGTGACAAGAAAATAACTGCTGAAAAGAAAAAAATGTTGAGAGATAAGAAGAGAACGCTCAAGCGATTATAAAAAAATTTCTTAATTATTAATCTTATTCTTATTGATACTGTCCCTTGAAAGATTTAATATTAATTGAAAAAAGATAAATTCTTTGGTGTGATTTTAATAACAATAACTTAATACTGAAAACTTAAGGATTAAGAACAAAAGTTTTTTTTTCTTCTTTCATGACTGAAAATAATAATTAAGTGTCTAGAAATTAATCTGATATTTCCGTGAAAACTTTGTTTCTTGAGTAATTTAAGACTATTATAATATTAAATTTTAATTTCTATTCCTTGACAAGAATTTATTTAAATCCCGTAACTAAAATTTTAGTACTCTCACTGTTATATGTTCAACGTAGCAAATATTTTTACAAATATGTACAAATAATAATAATAATAATAATAATAATATTAATAACGATAAATGTAATTAGATGATTTAATTAAATAAAATGCTTTCTCACAAATCAAAGTTATTTTAATTATTTTTTATGATAAAACCTTTGATTTAAAATTTTAAAAATAAAAATAAAAAATAATAAATTTCTTTAAAAAAAAAAATGAGAATATAAATTATTTTTTTAATAAATCTTACAATAAAAGGATAAAATACAATAAAAAAAAATTTTCTTAGATTTTCAGATACGCTTTTATTAAATTCCGGCTGAAATAGCTTTGGATTCAGTCTTCAACCACATTATGGTTTTTTGTAGCTCAAGTTACGTATTTTTCTCTGTAATTAAATATATTTTCCAGCATTTGATAATTTCAAATGCTTCTGCTCCACAATTGTAACATTATTTGTCAAAGATCTTCATTTTAAATTATCTCACAGCCTTAATATAATCTATACATTAATCAAGACATGAGATCTTAAGTATACTGTTAAGCTAATTAAATTAAAAATAAAAATTAGAAACTAAAAATAATATTTTATACTATAAGCCTTAGAAAATAAACTCATCACTAGTTGTAGCGATTGATTAACTTTAATGTTAAATAATTATAAAATAAATTGTACGCGTACTTTGGATAAAAAATAAGAGATTAATTCAATCTATTTTTTCCTCTTTACTTTTCAAATAATATTCGTCACACGCTCGTGAAGATTACATACAAAAAATTCATAAGTATTTTATAAATCATTAGTTTTTGTGTCTTAAAGTCTATAACTGAATAATCTTGTTTCAAACTTGTTTATTTTACAGTCGTTAGTTTATAAAAAAAAAAAAAAAAAAAAAAAAAAAAAAAGAGAGAGAAAGCAATTAAGAAAAAACAGAATTATTTTCTTTGTTAATTTTTTTAACTCTACCTTTAAATTTTGTACCATTTTTTTTGTTACAAATGATACAATAATGCTTTTAAAATAAATCAAAATTATAAGCTAAAATATTTTAGACTTGAAAAATCGCTCTAATTCTTTAAATTTCACCCACTTAATATTTTAAATAATTATCGTTTTAATTTATAACTAAAAGTATCGACAAACGATACTTTAAAATGTTTTTTTAACCATCAGAAATATACGCGATATAATGAAAAAGAAAGAATAATTATTGTTATTATTATTATTTAAATCACGACTTGAGTTTGCAGCTGGCTACTTGACTTCTTTTACGTAAGCTTCCAATTCAGCGTCCAATTCTTCGGCTGTTGGAGTTTTAGCTGGTGTTCTAGCACTTCCTCCACGTCCACTACCTCCTCGTCTTCCACCTGGACCACCACGACCTTTACAAACAAAATTTCAATTATTAATAAATAATATTAAATTTTTCTTTCAACAATTAAATAAAAATATAATTTTTTTTCAATGATAAAATAAATTATTAATTAAAATATAATTTACCTCTTGGTGCACTAGCTCCACGTGCCCCTCTGAATCGATTCGTCGTTGGCCTCTGAGAAAAAGTATTTCCAGCAAGTCTGGATGAGCCACGGATAGACGTTGTTACAGGTAATTCAGATGTAGCAACTTGAATATTCATTTCACGACCTGAGTATTGACAAAATAAATGAATTAATAACAAATAAATAAATTTAATTATTAAAATTATAAAAAAAAAAATTAATTTATAAGTAGAAAAATTATTTACCATCTAAAGGTACACCATTGTACTGCTTCATAGCTTTGATTGCATCGGCTCTTCGCTCAAAAATTACATCAGCGGATCCTAAAGAGCGTCCTGATCTGTCGTAATGTACTGCGGCAGACTTTAATGGTCCGAACTCACTGAATAATTCCTAAATAATAAAAATAAATATTTTCATCAATCAATAATTTTTTTTTCTAAGTTCTTAAGCTATTAATATAATAATCTTATTATATAATACAGAATAAATTTTTTTTTTAGTTAAAGAATCTTCACGTGGTATTGAATTAATATAAATATTATGATAGTTTGCAAGGATTGATTTTTTTATTGACAATAAAAATGAAACCAGCATAAAAAAACAAAGCATAATTGTTTTACTGAATAATTATACTCATAAAGTGTCTTAGATAATAAAAATAAAAAACATTTCACGGAGATTTATCGGTTATAAAAAATATATACTTTTAAAGTGTAATAATTTTAGAATTATCAAAAATAAGATTAAAAAAATTATAATTAAGATGAAGTTGCAGGAAAATATTAAAGCGAGCCGACATTTTTAATTTTTTGATTTTTTTCTCAGTAATAAAATTAGAAAAAAAATTTTTTTTAAACAATTTTTCAAGTTTTTTACAAATAAAATTTTTTTTTTTTCATTTTATTTGATAAATTTTTTAATAGAAAAAAATTCTAAATATTTTTAAATTTCGACTAACTTAATTTTCATAAATTAAAAAAAAAAATTAATAATTACCTGAATATCAGAATCCGATACTCCAAAATCAAGGTTAGAGACAAGAAGTTTGGTAGTTCCTGTGCTGCCGATTGAACCTCGGCCAACTTTTTTGACGCCCTCGAACATATCATGTTTCCAGGCACTATTTACATCACCCTAAAAAATAAATTAATAATTAATTATACACACAAAAATTTAAAGCAAGCATGAATAATGATGATAAAAATAAAAATTTGGATAAAAAAAAATCACTGGGTACTAAAACCTCGTAGTACATGGAATCATCACCCGACGCCATGAGCATAGGAGGTTAAAAAAGGTCAGTATATTAAATGAAAATAAAAAACTTACTCGTGTGTAAGAAGCAGCAGCTCTTGAAATTCCTCCACGGTTACGGCCTCGCATAACTCCACCACCAGCTCTTGGTGAACCACGAGGAATTCGTCGTAAACTGCCGGCGGATCCTCGGCCTCGTCTAGCCGCGCCACGCGATCTTCCTCCTTTATTTTGCTTGATAATATCGTCCAAGCTCATTTCAATCTTGTCTACCATCTTCATTATTGATCAAATTTACTGAGTAATTGATCGATTACAAAATAAATTGATTTTTTTTATTTTAAAATAATGGTTTTACAGTTATTCTTTACTGTATAAACCAACTTCAGACACTGAGATTGTTAAAACTGGATATAATGCTACACTACGAAAATGGCGGTATGAGCACACAAAAACTTTAAGAGAGAGCCGGAGAGCAGTGTACGCGTCTGCGTGTAGTCGTTCGTTTTAATAACGAAAGCCGAATTTTCATGAAATTACACAAAAATTACTAACTGAGTACTATTGTTATTATTAACAGTTTGGTTTACTTATTTATAGAATAAATACAGAGTATTTAATAAAGTACTTTTTTTCACAATTTGACTAGTTTAATAGATTATCTCTCAAAATTGCCAACTGATAGCTGTGAGTGATGACGGAGAACTAAATTTATGCTTCTATTCTCTTGCTTATTCATAGTCGTTAGTTCTAGGCGGACATTTTTGTGGTGGGGAGAGCATACTCAGCAAAGGACACTATCCCCACTTGGGATAGGTTCATCCTGATTGGCCTATCTGGTCTACGGGTGAATTTACATTAAGAGTTTTTTCTCTCTTCATGTAAACGACAGAAAATTTTAAAATTTTTAATGCAATAAATAAAATTAAGAAAAAGATGTTAAGTTATAAATTTTATTTTATTTATTATAATACGAAAGTTAGCTGGACAAATGACAATTATTTATAACAAATAAATTTTTTCCGAAAATTTATTAAAAAAAAATTGCATTTTTACTTTTTTTTTTAATTTTTACATGTCAATTTTTTTTTGCCTTAATTTATTTATGACAAAAATTCGTAAAATTGACAGTTTAAATCAGACATAATACTAATGAAAATTAATTTGACAGATATTTAACAATTTTTAGAATTTTTCTAACGAATAAATTATGGAAAAAAAATTTTTTTTTAAAATTGCCATTTAGAAAATTAAAAAAATGAAAAATCCAATTTTTTAAAAATAATTTATCGGAGCAAATTGATTTATTAAAAAAAATTAAAAAATTGTCAAGAGACTGCTAACTTTAATGTCTTACAAAACTAAAAATGCATTTAAAAATTTCCCTTAGCAATTTTTTTTGTTAATTTTATTATGTAAAATTTTTTAATTACATTTTTTTACTCAAAAATGTTTAAAAAAACAATTTTTATACATTTTTAGTTAGATTCTGATGTAATTTGCAGCATTCAATGCATCTTATAAAATACAAAAATATAAAAAATATAAAAAATGGAAAATTTAAACACTGATAGAAGGATTTATTTGTATTAAATAATATTTGTTAATAGTTAATAAATCATTTATTAGAGACCACTTTTTAGTATTAAACAAATATTTCTTAGTATTATTAAATATTAATAAATATTTTTAAATACTAAGAAATATTTGTTGAGGACTAACAAATGGCTTCTAATAAATGATTTGTTAAATATTAACAAATCTTTTTAACTATAAACAAATCCTTCTATCAGTGAAGACATACTATTAATTTTTTTTTATTTAAAAAAAAATTCATTTTATTATTATTAAATTTTACATGTTTTATAAAATTAGTTAGAAAAATTATTTTCTGTAACAAATTTCTACATAAGTTTTATTTAAAATTACATTATATATTCATTTAAAAATCAAAAATTATCAGCTGCTCTTATAGTAATTAAATAACTCGGTAATCCAGTTAAAGAACAAAATTGGCGCCCGACTTTACGGAGTCTAACGATCATAAATTTGTTTCCTAAAATGCTTTTAAAGGGATTATCATAATTATGATTTAGTCAAAAATCCCCATTTATTGTTAATTATATTTTAACGAAAATCATAAACAATAGCACTTATAAGGGTCAATTCGTTGAAAGATTCAGGTATAGACTCTTTTACACCCCATTTCAATAACACAGGTATAATTAGTCTAATCCTACATTTGTTAATTTAAATTTTTACGCACAGTAGGGCAAATTTCCTTTCTAATGACGTTTTATTTTTTCATTCTTCAATATGAAATAGACAATAAGATTGAGAACAATGTAATCAAAATTTAATGAGCAGTCATAAATAAAATTTTTTCGGACTTTAAATCTCATTTTCTTTTACAAAAAAAAATTATTTTCAATAAAATTTAAAAAATAATGAGTCAAAATTTTGAAACAGAATGATTTTAACAATTTAATAATTTCTTGAAAATAATTATCTTCAAAATAATTTAAAACATATTTTATTAATTATTACATCAAAAATATAAGACACTGAAGTCACTTGACATTAATAATTTTTTTATAATTTAATAGCAATTGAATTATTATCTAAAAAGTTAAATTAAAAAATTTCATAGGTCAAAATTATAAAAAATTATTAGTGAAAATTTTTAAAAGTATTTTTTTAAAAATTGTCATTGATTTTTTTATAAAAATTAAAAAAATTAATGATGTCAGCTAACTTCTGCATTAAGAATGTGAAATTATTACATTCTATCATAATTACAATGTCAATAAGCTTGAATAAAAAAAAAAAAATTTATATAAATAAATAAATAATTAAATAAACTAAAAATATAATATTTAATATTGAAGAAAAATTTTTTAGAATATGAAATAAAAATTTTGTGTATGAAAATAAATTTTCAACTTACTAAAAAATAAAAAATTTAATATAATAAATAAATAAGTTTATTATTTTATAAAAATTCAATTTTTAATTCAAACTTTTATCGTTTGATATAATGGGGTCATCTGAGTGATCCGAACGGAAATGTAGCCAATGTAATAATTGTAAAGGAATTCAAAAAGTAACTTGCTCTCTAACAAGTTATATACATTTAATACTTCATACATAACACTTAATGTATGTCAAATAATAGTAAATTCTATATAATAAAATACACACA